TCTTTTTTATTTTGGACAGGTGCGGAAACCCATCACCATGCTTAAGAGTATTCCAAACCAAACCAAGCTGAGATTTTCACGCATCCCACCTACACATGGAAATCCCTGAGATACATTGTTGGAATGGTATGCACAATCTCTCCCTGGCGGAATGCATCCTGCTTACCTAATTCCAGAAAGTATTAGGCGCATGTTGGCATGAGCCAAGGCTTGGGGACCCCAGAGTGTGCGTTGGGTTACTGCTGGAGTCCGACCATCTAAACCTCATAGCTTACCATTGATATTGCTGTCTGGCAAGCTTTCCCGCTGCTTGTCCAGCTAGGACCACCCTATCCGTTAGGGCTTTAGCTTGCTGGGTTAACAGGAGCTGAGTGGGATGACTCCCTGCCCCAGTGACTGGTCTGCCCTTCCAGATCCTGCCGATTAGCCAGACAGTCTGTGCTATCATCAGCCATGCCCTGGAATACTGTGGACCCGTCCGGACCTGAACTAGTTCAGCTCCAAGGAGACGCCGCTTACCTCCTCCCAAGGAGGATATTCACTAGTTGGTCGTTCGACATCCGACAAGAGCGGGTTGGAACCCTGACCTGGTAGATGATAGGTACAAGGAATTCCCTGCAAGTTTCCCGGTAGGCAATGCATCTCAGCATGAAATGGGTGAGAGCATTGCCATTTTCTGCCTGTCCGCAGCTTGGGCAAACCTCCCTTCCCATTGAGCGATGGTTCCACCAATTGGAGGTGCAGAGTTTAAGCAGCAGCTGCTTGCCCCTCTGCGGGCCAATCAAGATGGATTCCAGGCGCTAGATGTACGAACATCAGTTCATGAACTCGGACACCAGGTAACGCCTTCCAGTAATTGTCACCCCAAGCCTCAGAGTTTCCTCATCAGCTATCTGGCGGGCATCTGCCTTCGACGTGTGGGTGGACCTTTACACAATAGCTTGTGACATGCTAGCCACCTTGATGTTCTTGATGTCCAAGTCCAATGCTATGTACCAGGATTACTCAGCACCAGCTACTCAATCCAGGTCCTCATGCAAGGAGCCTTGGCAAATAAACGTGCCTGCTGTGAAGCCGCCTCCATCTCCAGGCTAAGTGACAGATCAGTGTAGACCAGAGCCCTCCCCCCCTGCAACTGCATCCTGTGTTTGCTACAAATCCACCTCACTGCTTGATCCTGGACTTTGCAGATGGGTTGGAGGAAGCCTCTGCGCTGCATCCCTAGGAGATCAGATCCATCAAGGAGGACTGTTTGCACACAGGTCTTCTACGCCACAAGCTTGACGTGCACTGGAGCCTTGCCCTATAGCCCTATACAGTGGTTAGAGCACTTACTATGCAAGATGAGCCACTTTGCAACTAATTGAGGCAGAACGTGCCTTACATGTGGAGAAAGTGGTTAGTATTATCCTGTGATTGCCAGCAGGGTAAAACCTTGGGCAAGTTTCCCTACTCCACAGGCCTAATAATGATCCCTCAAGAAAATAAATTGGTCACTTCAATCCACGACTGTTTGTGGGACACTGCTGTGCACAATTGGCTGCCATGTTTCACCCACAAATATACACTTCACTTTAATTCACTTTACAGTATATTCTATGAAGCGCTTTGAGACATAGAAGATATGAAAAGTGCTATATCAAATGCAACGATTATTATTTTTGTTGTCCTTGAAGAGGGATGAGCATGACCAAAGTGCCCTTTGCTCCTTCTCAGCGCAGTCCTTCAGGACAATGTCCAGGCTGAAGTTGGTGTCCACCACGACCGCAAGGTACCGATAAGAGTTAACACGGAAACAGTTTTGGTCAAAGTAACAAATGACATTCTGTCCATCTGCGACCAGGGCCCCTTCTGTCTCCTTGACCTCTCTGCTGCCTTCGACACCATTTACAACTCTATCCTCATCCACCGCCTCTCCGCTCACCTCAACCTTCACGATTCTGTCCTTGAATAGTTCAGCTTGTACCTCTCACTGCTTCCACTTTATCTCAAAACAGTTTCTCCTCTAGCCCCCGGACCATCTCATGCGGCATCCCTCAGGGCTCTGTCCTTGGTCCCCTCCTCTTCCATATCTTTATGCTCCCTCTTGGTGACATCATCCGCAGACATGGAGTCAACTTCCACATGTATGCGGATGACATCCAACTCTACCTCTCTGCCTCCACCCTTGACTCTGTCAGTCATCAAGTCCTGGATGAGAGCTAACTTTCTTCAGTTGAACGTCAACAACATTGAGGCCCTCCTGCTTGGCTCCCGTCAGTGCCTCCACACCTCAGGCCCTGTCAGCATCACCATCCATGGATGCACACTTGGCATCTTGTTTGACCTTCAACTGTCCTTTCTACCCCACATTCATGCCATTACCTGCTCTGCCTTCCCCCATCTCTGCAACATCGCCTGGCTCCGCCACTGTCTCACACCGCAGGCCACCAAAATCCACATACACGCATTCATAACATCGAGATTGTAACACTGACAATTCAAAGTCCTTGCTTGTCGGCCTCCCTCCATAGATCATCCAAAACTTTGCAGCCTGTGTCCCCTTCCGCATCAGGCTCCGTGACCCTATCACCCCAATCCTCGCCTGACTCCACTAGCTTCCCATCACACAGAGGATCAAGATCCTGTTCCTCACCTTCAAAGCACTCCATGGCCTTACTGCCCCCTAGCTCTGCAACCTCCTATTTCCCTACCAACCTGCACTCTCCTTCCACTCAGTGGGCTCCGGCCTGCTTCATGTCCCCTGCCTTCATGTCTGAAATACTGACTGTCCAACGCCTTGGGATGTCCTCCCGATGTGAAAGGCGCTATACAAATGTCATTTTGTTGTTATTGTTGTTAACAATTGGGACTGATGCCCCATGTATCTTCCCTCGATGTCTTTCCTTGGGGCGTTCAAACCATGACTCCGCATTTAACATGGCCTACCACCATGTTCCACCGATTGGCCCAGTGTTCCAGATGGCGGGTTCAGCGCAGAAGGTCCCAAGGTGAGTCCGCCAGCAGCACAATATCATCCGCAGAGAGGCCTGGAACAGATACACCAAGTCCTTCCCCCTCGATGCCATCCAACACGTCGTTGATGAACACAACGAACAGGAAAAACATGACAATGGCCAGCCTTGCCTTACCACTCCGTCCAGAGGGATGGACTCAGTAAGTCCACTGTCGCCCCTTACATGGATCTTGGAGCTGGAGTACACGTTCCGGATTAATTCCAGGATTTGGCCATGTACTCCCATGGCTTCCAGTTTCATCATGAGGCCCTTATGGAATCTTTTACTTCCATTTCTACAAAATGCAAAAGGGCCCAGTGGTTCCACAAATTAGAATTGTGTAAGCAACCACTATCTTCCCTATCTTACTATACATCCACTATCCTCTCTCCCATCCTCAAATAAGATCTTAGCAATATTAAACTCAAAATAAGTTACTGCGATTGTTATAATACTAACCCAGCGTTAAAAAAAATTGTATCTGATAGGAACATTTGGGGGTGTAACTTACTTTGTTTACTTTTTCCAACGATTTGACTGAATGATTTATAGATCTATATGTGTATATATATTTAATTACAAATTTCATTGTACCCAATCTCAAATCTTGGTGCTATTCTTTATTTCTAGAAATACTGGAAGTTTTATTAGTTTATGTACTTAATAAGAGAGGAAAAGCATTTGGTGGTGGGGGAACAGTAGTGCAAGCAATACTCACACCTCAAGATGGCAGTAAAGCAATGACATTCCACTCATTTCCTCAATCCCAGGGTGATGGTAGGTGGTGGTGATAGCACTTAATTAAAAAAGCAATCCTTGCATTTGATATAGTCTTTCAGGTCAGGAGGACACCTCAAAGAACTTCACAGGATTTACTGCAAAGTGTAGTGACTGTTGGCAAAAGCTGTCCAATTAACCCAATCCCCTGAGTCATCGATACACTAGTGAGACAGTAAGTAGGTGTGCAAGTCTGGATCCATCCCAAACAGATGAAGCAATCAAACAAAGTGCAGTATTTGCACACAACTTCATTTAGTGATCTTAATCCCCATCAAAAGCCAATCCCCACCCCATCAGAACATTTGGTCAAATTGGGACTGTTGAATGAAGTGAATGATACTTTGGACCCTCCAATCTTCAAACCATTTGCTGGGGGAGGGGGGTGTGGGGAGGTGGGGGGGGGGGTGACCCACTTTGCAGCTAATTGAGGCAGAACGTGCCTTACATTTGGAGAAGGTGGTTAGTATTATTCAGGGCACTTTAGAGAGAAAAACCTGCACAAAAGGAAGCAATGCAGATCACGGAAGATGCGACACCCAACATTAATTTATTTATGGATTGAAAGCAGCGGCAGCTCGTGGTGTGAGGCTGGAGGGGGGGATACAAGCATCGTTTGCTCGTCAACACACAAGTCCTGTGTATGTGGTGCAGTGGAAAATATAACAAAACCTATTAGTTGTGGAGTGGAGGAATCTGCTGATGAATAGCGCGCCCCCAAAAACAGCGTTAAAACGATTTATGTATTTGCTGTGGAATGTGCACTGGTCAAACCGGGCAGGTTTCACCTCAAAATGCGGATAGTCGGCATTGCAGGGTGGGGGGGGAAGGGGAGAGAGAAGGAAAAAAAAAAGGTGCAATTGCAGCCTCTCGCAATGCAACCCCCGTGCATTTATTTTGAATGTAAAACAGGATGCGGGGCAGGTGTCTGCACGGCTCCCGGTGTGTGGCGGCTTCAGCTGTGATCCCTGGAACCTGCAACAGTAACCACACACACACACACACAGACACAGACACACAGACACAGACCCCGGGGAACACTCTTCTCAACCACATTTTTTTTTCTCTCTCCCCCCCCTCTCCCTCCCCTCTCTTTAGCTCCTGGTTGCTTTTAGCACCACCCCTTGACGCACTGTCGCTGACACAAGCAAAGCCTCCGGATCCAATGATGTGGAGTTTTGCAATCTTATAAAAAAAGCTGATCCACCAAAACTGACTGCCGACGAGATACCCACTGCTCTGCCGCAGCCCCCGACTGACCGACCGACCGACCCGACCTCCATCCCGACTCACAGCGACAATGTCCTCACATTGGGGATATGATGTGGACAACGGTGAGAGATTCCCTCGATCCCTGACCCTGGACCCGACGCTCACTCCTGACAGAGGAGTCTGTGGCTTCCCGGGTGCAGCACTGATGGATGGAGGGAGTGTGGACGGAAAGTCCTAAGGGTGGAAGTATTTGCGATGTGTGAACTTTTTCGCAGCTGCTGTGGGTGTTCGCCACTCGTCTGCGGAAAAGGCTCTTAAGCTTTGCACCGAGAGCTTAATGGTTTGGGGTTTTTTTCTTTTTAGATGCAGCTCAAAAATGCAGGGGTTGGAAGGACATGACTTTTGGTGATCAAAGGCCAGTTATTTTGGGGGGTGCATTTGGTTATTGCTAAAAATGCTTTACTTTTTTGTATTCAGATTGAGATCAGTGATGGGGGGGGAGTGGGAGTGGGGGGAAGAGAATTTCCCCTCAAATGCTTCCGTATTTCGTTCCATTTTGATTTACTCCCGTTAACGGTGGGGATATCCTTTGCGGGAGGAAAGCAGCGTCTCCTGAGAGCCGATCTGGCTCCAAAGCGACACGTTTGGCAACGGAATGTCAAAATCGAGCCAACCCTCCGGGGCGGTCTCGGTGGTCCGGTTCCAGAGCCGGTTGGGTCCATGGTAGTCCAGGGCACTGCAGATGACGGCACAGCAGACCAGTTACTGGGGGCAGGGAGTCATCCCACTCAGCTCCTGTTAACCCTGCACGCCAAAGTCCTAAGGGGTATGTGCACAAGCAGGGGAAAGCGTGCCGGGCAACGCTCTCAGTGGCAAACTGTGCAGTTTTAGCGGTTGCCCTAACCCACACTCTCGGGTCCCCAAGCCTTGGCTCTCGCTAACTTGTGCCCCAATACTTTGGGGAATTAGGTCATTCGGATGGCTTTCTCCAGGGAGAGAGTGCGCATTCCATTCCAATACATAATTCGGGAATTTCCATGTGTAGGTGGGATGCATAAAATTTGGTTTGTATAGTTCTTAAGGATAGTGATCGGTTGTTGCATTTTGTAGACTCTCAGCTGCCCCCCCCCCCAAAAAAAAAGTGTATGTGTCTGGAGGGGGGGATACAGGGATCAGACCTACAGTAGTTAATGCCATTTCTGATTGGCAATGTCTACAACTGCAAAGCTTTGCCCAAACATTTGGTGAGTGAGTGTTGATAACAATAATAATCCTTTAATGTCAGAAAATGCAACAACCTGCGTGTGTGTGTGTGTGCGCGTGTTTTTTTAAAAAAAATCTTGGAACCAAAAGGCTAATGCATTTCTGTTTACAAAATTGGAAAAAACTTTTTTTTGTAAACCGAATTCCATTTTTTTCCCCCCCATTATTTTTGTGGGTGGGGGGGGGGGAAGGGGAAAAAAAATGCACTTTTTTTAATTATTTTTTTGGAAGACCGTGCAAAGTCGTGCAAAAATAATTTTTTTAAAAAAAGGATTGTGGACCGACCCAAGTCAGTGAGTGAGTTTCAGAGCGTGTGTTTGTGGTCTGTGCCGGGAGCAGGTCCCTCCTCTTGGCACCAGAGCTTCCCTGTGGCCAAGGACGGCAGCCGCCAGTCACCCGTCGACATCCGAAATGAGGAGACCGAGCGCGACCCGACTCTGCAGCCCCTGGTGTTGAAGTACGACCCCCGCAGCTCCAAGACCATCGCCAACAACGGGCACTCGATCCAAGTGGACTTCGATGATACCACGGATCAGTCCGGTGAGTGCATGTGAGGCTGCAGTCACTCTCTCACTCTCACTCACTAACAGTAGTCATTGCATTGCTGTTCACTCCCCTTCTCCAGGTGCACATCGTGCAACAAGGTCATGGCTGCAGCTCCAACATCTCTTTCCCTCTCTCTCTCTCTCTCCCCCCACTCAATGTTATTTAAAATGCACATTGCATTCACACACCACCTCTCCCCTCCTCGTCTTGTATTTGAAATGCATGTTGAATTACCTGCCCCCCCCACCACCGCTCGCATTATATTTCAAATGTGCATTGAATCCCCCCCCGTATTGTATGTAAAATGCTGGTTGGATTACCCCCCCCTCCGGAGCTCAGAGATTAAAGTATCTCAGTGTAAGGTGAGATCACATGGTTGTTAGTTAGTGCAGCCTTTATCTGCTGCCTGGCCTCAGGTGGGGGACTGGCTTGAAATGTCAAGAGGATCAACAGTGTTGAGGTGGGGGGGGGGAGCATGGATGTGTGGGATTGTAAACCAGGCTGTAAGTAGAGCTGCTCTGGGTCTGTGTACTTCAAGAAAACCCTTTGCAGGCAGTGAGGGGGGAACCCCAGGCTCTTAATTAAGGCAAACATCAAGCACTGGGTCTGCAGCTTTGGAACAAGTTGCTAAATGTTAATAATCCTGGTGGTGTGTGTGTTAGATGGGGTTGGGTACTTCAGGTTAAACAGTGCCTGAGAAGGTGAGGAAATTGCACAGCTGTTAGGTATTGGGAATGAGAGAAGTCGTGTGTGTTTTGCTCCAGTATTTGCCAGATGACCTGCAATAGTCTTCCAGCCCTGAATATTTCTACTCAACACCAATCCTCAATGAGCCCCAGCTGCAGGATCCACCAGCCTGTGCCCCATTAACGTGACACTCTCCTGTAGGGGTCTGTTGATCCATGTTTTAATTAACGTTGAGGGTGGGGGGGAGAGGCTTATTTCTGCTTATTTCTGATGTTTTTAAAATCTTCTTCTTGGAGCTTAAATGAAATGGGTAAATCCTGATAGGGCAAATTGTATATAAAGTACAGGGCGAACTAGTTTGGTGAGTAGAAGTCTATTTATCATGGTGTGTTTTTTTTTGGTCAGTATTAAAATGTATACTAGGTGTCAGCCCGGCTCATTTGGTAGCACTCTGAGTCAGAAGGTTGTAGGTTGAATCAGAAGGTTGTGGATTCAAGCATTGCATCAGGACTTTAAGCTCACAGTCTCAGCCAGTGATGGCCAACCTTTATGGTCAGTCAACAAAATACATATTCTTGATGATTTATTTCTTAATTTATGCTATAATGAATCAAAACGTATTCAATCACAAAAAAATAAAAACCCTACAGATCAAACGCAGACTTGCCTCAACTCATGCAAATGTTCGGGGCGGGGAGGGTTTCTTGATGGCTCTATGGACCACAGATTGGCTACCGCTGATCTAGACGGTCACTCCCATGCAGTGCTGGGGAAGTGCTGTGTTGTCAGAAGTACTGTGCTTCAGATGATATGTTAAACTAAGGTCCTGTCTGAAAAGAGATGGGAGTTTTTCCCTGCGTCCTGGCCAATAATCAACAAATGAAATTGGTCATTCACTTATAAAAACAATAATAAAATGTCCTTGCATTTGGCATAGTGCATCTCATGTCAGGAAAATGTCCCAAAATATTTCACAGGATATACTTTAATGTATGGTGACTGTTTTGTGCCAACGCAGCAGCCAATTTGTGCACAGCAATGTCCCGCCAACAGCTATGAAGTGAATGATCATTTTTTTTTTATTTTGGGGGATTGTTTGGTCAAACACTGGAAGAAACTTTTTTCGAATAGTGCCATTGGATTTTTAACGGCCATTTGAATAAGCAGACAGGATCTTGGTTTAATGTCCCATCCGAAGGACGCACCTCCAACAATTCAGTGCAGCCCCAACGCTGCACTGAGTGTCATCTTAGACTATATGAGTTCCGAGTCCCGATGGCAGGGTTTGAAGTTACAACCTTCTGACTCTGAGGTGAGAATGCTACCAGCTGAGCCAGGCTGATGCACTTCATTACTGTTTGTGGAACATTGCTTGTGTGCACGTTGACTGCTGCTTTCACTTAAAAGATAGTCATTAGCTTTCACTTCAATATTGTATTTCTCAAAAATCCTGGGAAGTGGTTTGAGACGTCGCAATGGCATGAAAGGTACTATATCAAATGCAAGGATTTTTTTTATTACTGATACCATTGCAATGTTCCTCTCTGCATGCCTGACATTTTAATTTCGTTGTAATCCTTTGTAAACTAACTGCTCTCTTTTCACTCCTACATATATCTTGAGAGGCATCATCTTCCAGCAAAAGGATTAAACATATTCATTGCAGACACAAATGTCAAGATTAATGTAACTAGGGTTACAGATCATAAGAGGGGTTCAGTGGCCCCTTTGGCCCATTTGATCTCCTTCCGCAATACTCAATTCTATTGCAACATTAAGCTGTTTCTTAAATGAGTTCAATGTTTCAGCCTCAAACGCCCTTCCTGGTAACCCCAGCAATTACTATTATGTAAAGAAATGCTTTCTGGGGTCTGTCCTGAAATTGCCCTTTGCAGCCCTTTTGTTTTGCTCTCTTGACGTAGCTGAAAGTATAGTTCTAGGTTTATTTTCTCGGTACCAGAAAAGACCATTGCGTATATCTGGCTGGTTGCAAAGTAAAAGAAAAGTTATCCTAAACCACTATCTCGTACTGTTCAATTGGTTTTGTCACCAAAAAGCTATCTGATTCCCTTTATATCTGCTGATACCATCAGCTTCTACAACCTTTTTGAGTAGTTAATTTCACATACTGGATTCATCATTCTCTCTGTAAACTACTTTTAATATAGCACCTTGTTGCATCTTAAATGTCTCAGCTGCTTCACTGGACCTAATACAACAACAGGAAATTGCATGTATATAGTGCCTTTCATGCTAATAGGAAATATAAAGTGTAGTGACTTTGTATTTGGACTTGAAGCTAAATTGCAGGGTTGCCTTTTGTCTTCTGAGCTTGAGACCATGTTGTTGAAAATTGGGAAAATCAGCACTGATTATCAACACTGCGTTCCTCTCCCTCTGAGTCAGAAGTTTCTGGGTTTAAGTCCTACACATTGGGACTTGAGTTCACCAGCTAGACTGATGCTCTAATGCAGTACTGGGGATGTACTGTATTGTGGGAGGTCTTGTCTTACGAACAAGATGTTAAACTGAGCTTCTGTCTCCCTGTTCATATGGATGTTAAAGATCCTAATCTCTCCTCTTGTAGAAATTTATTTCTCCCAATAGACTGCAGACTTAATGGACCAGGCCTTCCTTTGCTCTTATAACGAGCCATTAGCAAACTAATATGTGCTAATAACTTCCACATATATGCGGATGATACCCAACTCTATCATTCTGCTTCCACCATCAACCCCAGGACCACTGCTGTCCTGACAGACTGCCTGTCAAGACGTCAAGTCCTGGATGAGGGCAAATTTCTTACAGTTGAATGTGAACAAGACTGAGGCCCTCCTGATTGGCTCGCGCCAGCGCCTCAGCACCTCAGGCTCTGGCAACATCAACCTCCATGGTTGCACACTACAACTCACCAAGCCAGTCAGGAACCTACGTGTCTTGTTCAACCCTCAACTGTCTTTTCTTCCCCACATCCAAGCCATGACCCGCTCTGCCTTCCCTCACCTCTGTACCATTGCCCAACTTTGCCACTACCTCACCTCTCAGGCCACTGAAACTCTTGTTCATGCCTTCATCACATCCAGGCTCAACTATGCAATCCCCTGTTTGTCGGCCTTCCCAACTCCTCCCTCCACAGGCTGCAGATAATCCAGAACTCTGCCGCAGCAAATTCCGTGACCCCATCTCCCCAATTCTCGCCTGACTCCATTGGCTCCCTATCCTTCAGAGGATCCAGTTCAAGATCCTGGTCCTCACCTACAAAACCCTCCATGGCCTCTCCCCACCCTACCTCTGCGAACTCCTAACCCCCTATTAACTCACCTGCTCCTGACCCACCCGACCCACCATTGACGGGAGAGTCTTCAGCCACGCTATCCCCAACCTCTGGAATTCCATCCCCCAGTCACTCCGCCTTGCCCCCTCCTTAGCCTCCTTCAAGTCCTGCCTCAAAACCCTCCTCTTCGACCATGCCTTCCCCCCACCCAGAACCCTGCTTGGGTCTGAAATGCTGTACACTGTCCAGCACCTTGGGATGTCCTCCTGACATGAAAGATGCTATACAAATGTAATCTTGTTGTTGTGAATGATAGACTTGCATTACACTGGGTGTCAATTTCACATTGATGTTTTCTGTCTGTGACAGTGCTGAAGGGTGGCCCTGTGACTGGATCTTACAGGCTGCGTCAGTTCCATTTTCACTGGGGCTCTTGTGATGGTCGTGGCTCTGAACATTTAGTTGATGGAGCATCATTTGCTGCAGAAGTAAGTGTGTGCTGTTGTGTGTATGCCTTTGAACCTTGGACATTATCCCATGGAGTCCTGTAGCTCAGTTGTTAGAGGACTTACCTCGCAACCGAGAAACCTGGGTTTGAATGCTAGCAGGGCAAAATGTTGTGTAAGTTTCCTTATTCCACACGTCTCTGCTTACCTAGCAGTAAGTATTGTGTGAAGTGCTTTGTGATGTCTTGAAGATGTGATGAGGCGCTATATCAAATGTAAGGATTATTAATGTATGTGCATGCTGACAAGGCTGATAATTTATCTTAATATATCCTTAACCGTATAACAGAAAGCCTACTATTCTATTAAACAATGACGCTTAAGTTTGCATTTTATTATTTGATCTGCCTGAACCCCTAAATTTCTAATGTGTCTTTTCCTTTATGATTATTACCTATAAATCCCTTCAGGTCCTATCAGCTTCATGCCATTTTTTTTCTTTCATCTCACTCTTCAATTTGCCTCATGTGCTTGACTAAGGCGGGCCTTCAGCCTGCTCCCTCTGCACCACCGTGAGTCGCTGAGCTTTCAAATACTATTTCCTAGCCTCAAACTCTCGCTTGTTTCGCACCCTCTCTGTGTTTAATTTCAGTCTTAAAACCCACCTGTTTAATTGCACCTCCATTCACTTCTCCCTTGTGCTCGGCATCTGAGTACAGACACATCATACGTGATGTCTATATAAATAAATGCAAGTTGTGGGTTCTTAAAATTTAAGATCGTGCAGAATTTTACAAAATTCTTAAATGCAATCTTAGCTTGGATGAAGGTTTTTCTTGACACTAATTACTGTATAAAATCAGGTTTCTAATTAAAACTCAATTCATGATTTTATCAAAAATTTCACACAAACTCAGATAGTAAAACCATCGTTTTAAGAGTAAAACCACATTTAATCTAGCCCAGATTTACACTGTTAACGTAGCATTTCAGAGATTCCAGAGTGTGGCAAATAATTGAATACAGTGTATATTAAGCAATATATTAGTAACTATAATAATAACAATAATCCTTGCATTTGATATAGCGCTTTTCATGTCGGGAGGACGTCCCAAAGCACTTCACAGAACACACTAAAGTGAATTGACTGTATATTTGTGGGAGAACGCGGCAGCCAATTGCGCACAGCAATGTCCCACAAACAGTCGTAGATTGAAAATGACCAATTTATTATTGTTTTGGGTTTTGGAGGGATTATTATTAGGCTCTGTGTGGAGTAAGGAAACTTGCCCAAGGTTTCGCCCTCTGCCTGGAATTGAACTCGGGTCTCTCGCTTGCAAAGCGAGTGCTCTAACCACTGAGCTACAGGACTCCAGCAACTAAAGCAATGTTGAGAACACTTAGGAGCTTGTGTACATTATAAATAGCGATTGTGGCATTTCTCTGAGCTGAGGCTGATAATTAAAGGTATAGATGACGAGCACAAATGGATTGAGTTTCAGCTTCAGAATTTATAATGTCACCTGAACCCTCAACGTAAAAGATCCCATGGTCCTATTAAAAAGAGAAGGGCATTTCTCCCAGCGTTCTGACCAATAAATCTCCCAAATAAAATTACTCCATGGCTGCTTGTGGGACATTGCTGTGTGCAACTGGCTGCTGTGTTCGCCCACAAAATACACAATCAAACCATTTTGAGTATATCCTGTGAAATGCTTTAGAGGTCTATATCAAATGTAAGGATTATTATTATCTTAACCCTCAACTGAATTATTGTTTTTAAATCACTAAGTGATTTAAAAACAATAAAATCACTAAGTGCACATTACACTCCATTATTGTTCAGTATCACTGATTCGCTGCAAACTTGCCCCTCGCTATTAAATTAGAATAACCTCCTAATACCTTGACCCTGTTTTAACTTGTCAGCACCACTTAAGTCATCATGCTGTCAATATCATGGACGCCGTTATGTATTTAGACATATGCCTAACTCTGCTTCAGATAACTTGTGATGACGAGTTTGATTTATTCAGGACTTTACTGTAATCAATTCCCAAGCATTCCCCATTGGAACTGAATAAACTGCAGTACATGCATCTGTGTCAGCCTAGTTCAGTTGGTAACAGTCTCGTCTCTAAGTCAGAAAGTTGTGGGTTAAAGCCCACGTGTCTGTACTTTGAACTTGCACTGTCTATGCTGACACTCCAGTACAGTGCTACACATGTGCTACATTCTTCGGATGAGATGTTCAACTGAGATCCAGCCTGGCTGTATAAATGTATGTTAAAGATATCATGGTATTATTCAAAAAGAGAAGGAATTTCCCCTGGTGAACTGGTCAAAAAAAAACCCCAGATAAAATTAGTCATTAATTTCATGGCTGTTTGTGGGACATTATTTTGTGCAAGTTAGCTGCCGAATTCACTTGCAAAATAGTCACTTTACAGGATATCCTGTGAAGCAGCAGGGATCTGAGAATTGGTAGCTGCTTATATTTTGGTTTGGATTTGATGTGTCTTAAGATGTGTAACTGAGTTTTTTTAATATATCATTCTGTTTCCAGCTTCATCTGGTGCACTGGAACTCTGAAAAGTATGCGGATGTCGCCAACGCTGCCATCGAACCGGATGGTTTGGCTGTTGTTGGTGTTTTCCTGAAGGTTGGAATGTTAATGTGAAATCTGATCCGCAATGTATAGTAATTTCTAACAGGTTATCTTGATAATGAATTGGAACAGGAACTCCAGATATCTGTCATGGGTTATTAGTTAGAGCACTCTCCTCATAAGCGAGAGTTCCCGGGTTTGATTCCTGACAGGGCGAAACCTTAGGCACGTTTCCTTACTCCTCAAGCCACTGTTTACCTAGCAGAATGCAGGCACCTGGTTGTTAGTCAATTGGCAGATCGCTAACTGGGGGTAATAATCTCTCTCTCAAAAAATAACAATTTGGTCACACAATCCAAAACTGTTTGTGGGACACTGCTCTACGTAATTGGCTGCCGTGGTTAGCCCACAAAATCTACAGTCAATCCATTTTACAGTATAGACTGTGAAGGGCTTTGAGACATCTCAACAATGTGGTAAGGTGCTATATCAAATATAATTGTTTCCTCCAAGGAATAATGTGTATCACCCCTCCTCCCCCACACCACCCACGAGCTCCTCCAGTCTTGCAGGCAAGCACGATATACATGGGGTTCTCCGGAGGAGCTGCTCTTTACATCAGAGGCTCTTACACTGGAAGTTGGGTGCAGCACTCATGTCAGTATAATACGACTGACAGATAATGAACTGTGTGTGTGATGATGATGATAATAATAGTTTGAATATTATATCTATTCTCTGGCCATCATTTTGGTTTTATACCAATGTTTCTTAAACTCTGTTGATGGTGTCCCCAAAGATAATCCAAGCATTTTCCAGTGCCCTCCGCAAACACACCTAAACATCATTATTTCAGTTTCTTAAAATAAAATCCGAGCTGTAGACTTCGATGGAATTTATAGGTTATGACCATTCATAACCTGGGCTAAGTAACTCGCCATGGACTGTTTCAATACTGAGCGCTGACAGCATCACCATCCAAGGCTGCACTCTCCACCTCTCAAAGCCGGTCAGGAACCTCGGTGCTCTGTTCGACCCTGAGCTGTCCTTTCTCCCTCATATCCGCGCCACAACTGGCACCGCCTTCCATCACCTCCGGAATGTCGCCAGACTATGGCTCTACCTCACCCCTCACGCTGCTGAAACTCTGGTCCACACCTTTATCACCTCAAGGCTGGACTATGGGAACTCTCTCCTCGCCGGCCTTCCCAGCACCTCCCTCCACAGCTGCAGGTCATTCAGAACTCTGCAACTCGTGTACTGTCCCGCACCAGGCTTCGGGACCACATCACTCCCACCCTCGCTCGCCTCCACTGGCTCCCCATCCCCCAGAGGATCGAATTCAAGATCCTCACCTTCAACAACAAAATGACATTTATAGAGCGCCTTTTACGTCGGGAGGACGTCCCAAAGCATACAGGGCCATTCACGGCCTTGCTCCCTCCTACCTCTCTAACCTACTATCCCCCTACTTACCTGCCCGTACCCTCTGTTCCTCTGGCTCCGGTCTGCTCCACATCCCCCGCCCCAACCGCCCTACCATCGGTGGCCGAGCCTTTAGCCTCTCAGCCCCTAGGCTCTGGAACTCCATCCCCCAGTGCCATCGCCGCTTCCTCCCTTTCCTCCTTCAAGGCCGGTCTCAAGACCTTTCTCTGTGACCGTGCCTTCAGCTCCCCTCTCAACTCTCTACCACCTCCTCGCTCCCTCCCTTCCCTCCCCTCACCCTGACCATTTCCCCCCTGCTCGGGTCCCGACCCAACTGTCCAGGGCCTTGGGAGCCTCTGGAACAGTTTCCCTAGGGAGACGGTTGAAGCTTGAAGTGTTGATTCTCTCAAACGCAGATTAGATAGTTTACTTTTAGGAAATAACATTATGTGATATAGCACATAGGTAGTTTGTGCATGCATCCGCCAGGAAGGCGAACTAAATGGACCTTGATCTTGTTTTGGCTAGCATTTCTTATGTTATGCTCTTGTGTTTTCTGGTAACTGACAGATACCTTTATTACTGCAAAAGTAGAATCATAATAATTGTATTTTCTACTCATTTGCACTCAATATTTCTTGTGCTTTTCAGATAGGAGCTGCCAATCCGGCCTTGCAGAAGTTGCTTGATGCTTTTGATTCTGTTCAAAAAGAGGTAAGTTTAAAGCCAGTTCTATTGATTGAAATACGAAATATGATGTTTTGTGAACCTTACTGTGTACAAATTGGCTCCTGTGTTCAACTACAAAACAGTCATTACACTATACAGTAAATCCTATGAAGCACTTTAATATGTACTCCTGATGTGATGGGCATATCAAATACGAAGATTATTGTTTTTTTTTCTTTAAATGAAAAAGCCCTGGTAAGAACTTTATAATACTAATTATAATGATAATTATTATATTAAATGAAAATGTCCTGGTAAGAGGTCTGTTGATGCCAATGTAGTGTCACACAGACCAGGAAGCAACCAGCTTTCTTATAAATGTTCCCTGTTTCTGGCGTGTGGCCTTTTTATATTTTCATGTTTATCTTGAATTTTATTAAATACACCCAATAAAATGCAATTTACATTTAGATAGTGCCTCAAAGCGCTTGGCACTACTGGCTGGGCACCCGAGCCTGGGGGTGGGAGCTGAAGAGGGTGGATGCCTTACATCTGAGCGAATCGACTGGAAAACTACGCATCAAAGATATTTAAAAATGCTTAATTTCTTAATCAAGCTTTCGTACTGTGTAAATAGAGTAAAACAAATGTTTTCACATCATTCGGGGGTACTGCAAAGGACGCTAACCTGACAAGGTGTTTATTGTAAGCCACCTGTCCCCTATGTACACGAGGTCACATTGAAGCTGATCCTCATCGGTGGATTGTGAAGTTTACCTTTCTATCGTAACTCTCACTTTGGCTTTCTCACGTTTCAGAATACCAAAGCTGACTTCAAGAACTTTGATCCCTCCACCCTGCTGCCTCCGTGTCTAGATTTTTGGACGTACCTGGGATCTTTGACCACTCCACCTCTGCTAGAGAGTGTCATCTGGCATGTCCTGAAGGAGCCCATCACTGTCAGCTCAGGACAGGTAAAACATGAAAGGCGAAATTCCACTTAAGGTCATTCAGTGACATTCTCCCACGTAACTACCCCAAAGGTTGGAAATGTCTGCAAAGGTAGCAATTGGATGCCTAATGCACAGTGTCAACGTTAAAATTTCACAATATCATTTTTATTTTTCCCTGATTCACTGGGGCTTATTGTTTATAATCAGTATATTGCAGCCCTGTATACCTCTCTTCCTTTAACCCCAATTGACGTACAATGCGGTTGCAGTGTGGACGCACATGCATGCATGCTACCAGCCTGTTCACTTTCCATGTGCTGGCCTGGCCTTTTGTGTTAAAAGAGCGGACTTGAATGTTATTTTTCCTATTTTTAATGACTTTTTAAAAAAAGCCCAATAGGGTATTCATTGGCCCTCTCCCACAGCATAGTGGACATTCGCTGTCTGTCTCTCTCGCTCTCCCTCTACCTCCCTCTTTTTCTCTCTCTCTCTCTCTCATCCAGCATTGCTATATTAGCTGTGGCTGAGAAATGTTGCTTCCAGGTTATAGTAGAAGCTGAGACAGGGATAAGTAAGCAGGAATAATAAATAAACATCCCTATCTGTTAAATAAACATCCTACATCTGTTTTTCCTGAAGCATTGCACTCCACATTTCTATAACATTCTGTGCAAAGAAAAAATGTTCTTAATGAATGTGGTTTAAGTTACAATTCTGACGTGCTAGTCTTATCCAGTCAGCATCCTGGTAGGATTTCTTGTCAGACTAGTTTTGCATTTAGCAGGGATTAGCTATTCTTTCATTCTGACTGGGATTGCCAATTACCCGTTTTGTAGCAAAGAGTTTGATTTTTTTTTCCATCCAGAGTGTGTTTGAACACATCGTCTCCAATCCTGGTTGACGACCCTTTGCCTGTTGCATTTCCCTTTCAGACATTCTGCCCCCATCCCAGACTCCCTCTGCCATGCACTCTCCCACCCCCGAAGCTTTAAGACATATCATTTTTCAACTGTTTGAGGTTTATTTTGGAGATCATGCAGAGTGCTTGATGTACATGGGATTCCCTGCACCTTGTGCCACGGGTCACTTTTTGCCAGCTTTCACAATGTTGAGAGAATGTTATTTGTTCAGTCCCAGTTACAGGATGTGTGAGTACCCCCTTCTGCAAGTCAGGGTGAGAAGAAAAGGGAAAGTAGAGGTTGATTTGAGATTTTTCATCATCACCAAACTCTTTAATGCAGTAGTGGCCAACCTTTTTGGTTGGGCAACTACACTAATGTTTCTTTATTGATTTTTTTTCTTTTCATTTATGGCTGTGCCATTGGTATCAGGGCTCGGGAGCTACTGGAAACATTGACATGGGCTTGCCTGGATGGGTACAGGTATTAGGCAGGCCACTTCTTGAAGCCCTAAAAGTTGTTGTTGGCCACTGCCCAGTGTAATGTAGTGGCCTAATGGCCATTTTTGGGGCATCGAAGTGGCTTGCTGAAAACCCACACCAAGTCTAGGCAAATCAATACCTTGTTTCCAGGAGCTACTGAGCTGCAATACCCACAGTGTGGCCATAAATAAATAAAAATGTATTTGGTTGGCCAGAACTGCTTTAGTGTTTGCTTTGGCTGCCTAACACAAGGGATGTTGTGCCACAATATTGCAGCAAAACATTCCTGAATTTCAGGAGCTTTAGTTTATTTTGAAGCTTTAAAATGTATTGCTTCAAACCTTTGGATACCTAATGTGTTGCCAATCCCTTCAAAAAGGATATGCATCAGTTCTCTGCTTAGCAGAGCCCAAGAGGGCAGCAAAATCTACTGGCTTAGACTTTGTTTCTTTTACATAGAATTATAAACTGTACATCATTGAAACAGGCCATTTTGTCCAAATAGTTCATGCTGGTGCTTGAAAACCATATGAACCTTCACCTATCCTAATCTCTCCCAACCTCCAAACTCCACTATTCCCTAATCCTTCATGCTTGTTTTAATTCATATTGTTTTCCCCCCATCAGTAGTTTTGCTATTTCTGTGGTTGTTGATGATGATCATAATAATCCTGGGATTGACTTGGTGTCTCAAAGCTCTTCACAGAATTTTACTGTAGTATAGCGATTGTGTATCTTGTGTATTGTATACACAAGAGGGAACAATTTGGAGTGATTGTGCGGTATTTGCAAATTGCAATGTCCCACATGCAGCCATGAAGTGAATGACCACCTTTATCGGGGGATTATTGGCCAGGACAACGTGGAAAACCATCCACATTTTTTTCCAAATAGTGCTATGGGATTTTTACTGTCCATCTGAACGAGTAAACAGGAACTTGTTTTAACATCTCGTCTGAAGGACGGCACCTCCCGACAATACAGCACTCTCCCATTGGAGTGTCAACCAACCTAAAGCAAGTTCAAAGTCCTGACTTGGGACTTGAACCCACAATATGGGTTCCTGCTCACGTTTTGGTTGCCTGACATTTTTTAAAGGTTTTGCCATCTGCTAATTTTGCAATCTGATATTCAGATCGTAAGTCACTGTAAGGCAACAAATCAGATTTGTAAATATCACCAACTGGAGCTTAATATCAAATGAGCCATGTTGTTGTGTTAATAGGATTGTTTTGTGATTTATGGTGAGAATCTATTTGTTACACTGACCCATTTTTGGCGTCTGAGGATTTCATTACCTGACTGCTGTCTGCTCCATATTATTAATCCTTGAATAAGGGCTCCCAGATGGTAAAGTAGGGATGAGCAACAAATCTGAAGAGGGAATCAGACTAGTTGAATTGTAAGAGTTTGGATTAATTCAGAAACGTGTGATGTTTGCATCCATTGATTCAGAAAATGCATCTGTGGTGTGTGTGAGCTGAGATTAAGTGCATCTCTACATGCAACGCAAAGCTGCTTTGGGCATCTCTTGGCAGGGGCTGTCTTGTTAGCAGCTCCTCCCCTCTCCCTCAGCTGTCATTTATTTAAAGCCATGGGGCAGGGCCTGGAGAGAAGGAAGATCAAACTGAGTACAAATCTACACCCATTGGTGTCTTGAGAATTGGATACTTTCTCTTTTGCACCAAAGATCTTAAGTGATAAATGAGCACTGACCCATGACCGGGGACATCAGAAGGAACATCTTTGTAGATTTCCTGCTGATCTTCTCTCGGCCCCTTTCAAGTTTGTTTGCTTTGTGTCGGTGGAAAGCGAGACAGACAAATTCCTGCTGACCAGAGTGTAAAGTTTTCCCCTCCACCTTCAGCCAAGAATCGCAACACTTGCATGAATTCTTATTCATTTCACAAAAGGCAGTGCTTTCCATGTCCTTTTCTTACCTGTGGTTGTGTCTGTATTGGTCTCTATTCAAAAAAATTGGTCTCTATTGATGGATGTATCAGCACTTCTGCAATAGCAGCACAAAGAAACCCTTTGAGCAGTTAAGGCATAAAATGATTTGAAAAGAATACTGCCACTCATAATATTCCTGATCTGTTTCCAAATGCAAAGTTAGGAAATTTGACACTCAGATGTCTGATGCATGCAGAAACCTATCACCATATTTGAGATGATCCAAATTGGGCTGAGTTCCATTCCTCGAACCTACACACTGGAAATTCTTGCGTCTGGAATGTAATGCGCCCTGAAGAGCTACGCCCTGATTACCTGCAGACAATTAGGTGCAGGTTGGCAAAAGCCAAGACCTGCATCAACCATATCACTGTAGATGATATGCTTGCTTAAGGCAGAGCAACCATGAGGGAAATATTAAGCTTGATCTTCTTACAGTGCTTGTATTTGCTTTCCAGATGGAACAGTTCCGGAGCTTGAAGTTCACAGCTAACAAACCCATGCAGGACAACTTTCGCCCTCCTCAGCCTCTGAAGGGCAGGAAAGTACGAAGGAATTTCTAAGAATTGAACGAAAGTCTAGTTATTGCCTCCCAGAATTGCCCTTTATCTGACGAAAGCACCAATAACCCTCCCCACTCGCCTCACCCTTTCTCATGGACATTTAGATCACAACCAGCAAATAAAAAGTTCCAAGCACAAAGTAAACCTCGCTGTCCACTGCAAGGGAAAGTCTGAGCAGCTACAAGATTCTTAATGGTGTCTTTGAGCCTTGCTGATCAGTGAAATCTGAAGTAAATGTTTGCCCGTTGTGGAAAACAAAACGCCTCAAAAGCAGACTGACTTAGTAAAGGGCTGTTCCATAGCACAAAACGTGGTCCAAGGTTAATTATATTCTAGGTTGTTTTTCAGTAAAGAGAGATGTGAATTAGTCTTTAAATATTGCAGTTGATTTAAGTTCAAGGAAGATTATTCTAACTGAGCAATAATTGTTTATTGTACTTGTATTTGGAATTCTTGTTAACCAATGTAATAAAGTGTAAGCCATACAATTTAACAAATAAAAAGGTATTTTACTGATTTAATCTTTTGGCAATAATGCACTTACGACAGATAGAATGGAACTATTGTTTCACTTTGTTTAAAAACCTGTTTTTCACCCTGGAACTGTGGAAATCCAACAGTTCTAAGAACTTTTGTGCTCCTTGAGCTAGGCTGGTTTTGCCCCCTGAGCCAAGCTTTCGCACACCTTAACTCAGAAGTCAGTACAACAACAAAATCACATTTGTATAGGGCCTTTCACATCAGGAGAACGTCCCAAGGCGCTGGAAACAAGTACGCAGTCTTAATGCTGTTCAATGTCGGATGTTTATCACTGGAGTCTAATCAGCAATATTTGCAGATGGATTAGATGTGTTAATTATGATTTCCAGTTATGAATATTGGAGGCTGTCTAAATTACAATAGGGGGAGAAAAACATCTGCGTCCATGGCTTTCTTCACACTTTCTTGCTTTCAGAATTTGCAATTCACAGCCTTATATCACAAATTAAATGGGTTTGGATATTCATATCCAGATATCACAATCTTTGCATGAAATCTGGTTTGTGAGTTTGTGAATTTGACTGCAATAACTAAAGGACAATTTCTTGCTTGCCTTTCCCTTTATCACAGAGAAGCCATGTCTTTAAACCATTTAAACATTTTATAGCTCTTTTGTTCCTCTTATTTAAAATTATTTTTCTTTTCCTTCACAATTGTAATTTACGTGCCTGAGCTGGGTACAATCGTGCTTTAAATTGTTGCTTGCTACCCTCCTTCCTAAAAAGGATAGTCAGCAAGTGGGCAAGTGCTGCTGAATGTAGACATCTTATTGTTGATGCCCTAGGGTTAAAAACAGATTCAATCATTTGTACATTATATAATATCACTGATGGTAGTTTTAATAGGATATTGAAAGGCAGTGTACAACTAAAATGTTGTTAACTACATGATAAATATTCTACAAGCCTCACCATATAGTAACAATCTAATTATATGGGAAATAGCCACAAAAACACATTCTGCACAAAACAAACCAATGCCTTCAGGGATGCTATGACTCCTCATTCCATCTTGTTCACTGGTTTTATAATAAAATCATCCTGACATTCAAGTATCCTTGACCTTAATGCACAAAATCTTTTTCACTGCCAGTGATGCAGAGTGGGTAGTGATAAATGCTGTGGTGTGTTATGTAAGAAGAAATGGGTGATGAAATTAAACTTTTAAGATAATCCTAGTGAGTACTAGGAGATGCTGTCTAGTTATTGTACAGCGATCAGAGCAGCAAATACCATGATTTCTGCTTCTGCAGCAGTATGCTTTGAGGAATCATGCACACCGCTGCACTATTAATCAGGAGGAGAAAAGACAACAACATGATTCCATTTATAGAGCGCCTTTCACGTCGGGAGGACGTCCCAAGGCGCTGGACAGTTGGTTCAAGACCCGAGCAGGGGGGTCAGGGTGAGGGGAGGGAAGGGAGCGAGGAGGGGGGGGTAGAGAGTCGAGAGGGGAGCTGAAGGCACGGTCAAAGAGAAAGGTCTTGAGACCGGCCTTGGAGGAAAGGGAGGAAGCGGTGAAGGCACTGGGGGATAGAGTTCCAGAGCCTGGGGGCTGAGAGGCTGAAGGCCCGGCCACCGAATGATAGGGCGGTTGGGGCGGGGGATGTGGAGCAGACCGGAGCCAGAGGAACGGAGGGTACATGCAGGTAAGTAGGGGGATAGTAGGTCGGAGAGGTAGGAGGGAGCGAGGCCGTGAATGGCCTTGTAGGTGAGGATGAGGATCTTGAATTCGATCCTCTGGGGGATGGGGAGCCAGTGGAGGCGAGCGAGGGTGGGAGTGATGTGGTCGCGAAGCCTGGTGCGGGACAGTACACGAGCTGCAGAGTTCTGAATGACCTGCAGCTTGTGGAGGGAGGTGCCGGGAAGGCCGCCGAGGAGAGAGTTCCCATAGTCCAGCCTTGAGGTGATAAAGGCGTGGACCAGAGTTTCAGCAGCGTGAGGGGTGAGGTAGTGCCGTAGTCTGGCGATGTTTTGGAGGTGATGGAAGGCAGTGTCAGTTGTGGCACGGATATGAGGAAGAAAGGACAGCTCAGGGTCGAACAGAACTTTTAAAGGCTGATGGATTTTCATTCAGTAGATTTCTTCCCTTCCCAGGGAATTGTTTTAACTCAGTCTTTCATTATTTCACCACATTTATACAAATGCAGTCAGTAATGCTGCAATGCCATGACTCTGTATGTGTGTGTGTGTGCATGTAACAAAATAAATTTTATTAATGGTCTATTTTTAAAGAATTAATGTTACGTCTGACATAAGCACGGCTAGAACACCTTCAGGGAAATGTAAACTCACACCATGTGAAACTAAGACCACACGATATGCTGATATTTTCATAAGCTTGACAGGCTGGTCAAATACTGCCATAAACTATTGCTTGTCTGTCTGACTACTGCAGCCACCTTTTGAATTATGACTGAATTTAAGAAAATTCCACAATCTTGTGTGGGATAAAATTTTAAGACAAAGTGGTCTCAAAAGCTGACACTTTGGAATTTTGGGCCTTCTTCAGAGTTGCAGAGACTAGAGCCATTAGCTGGAGTTCACAAGAGAGGTTGGATGAGGAAGGTCCTTCAGTCATTTGATTTCAAGCTTCTAGAATACCCACCCCATCGCCACCCCACAGTATCAAGCTGATTTTTTTATATAGATCCAGTGTTCTGGCCTCAATCATCCTTCCTGATAACCCTTTTCCTGTTATTATAACAGCAACGTTATGTAGCGTCTTTCATATAGAATAACACCTCGGAGGGCTTTACAATGGCAGGGTGGACACTGAGGGGGGAAGAGGGAATGGAAGTGGAAGGAATGAGCTGACTGTAAGTACTGTTAAAGAGGTAGGGTTTACAGAGGGAGATGAAAACAGAAAGGGGGTGAGATGGAGGGATTAATGGAGGGAGTTGCACGGCTCCCTCCAAAGCTAAGGGGCATAGATTGGAAAGCTCAGCCAATGACGGTGGCAATGGTAGGGCGAGGATGCACAAACAGCCAGAGTTAATTAGCTTCGGAGTAAAGAAATACCTCCTAGTGTCTGTCCTAAAGTTGCCCTTTGAAACAAGAGAGGTTGGTTGGATGAGGAAGGCGTCTTGATCTTATATCTTGTTGCATCTGAAAGTAAAACTAGAGGCATGCAAATAATGATGTTATCCTTTATCTTGATTTCTATGAACTCTTGAGTAATTGCAATCTGCAGCCTGTGATGTTATCTGGAACTTGTCTTGCACACTAGCACTGTAAGAGTAGGAGTGAAAAAAGCCAATTAATCTCTTTTTTGCCTGTCGGATATCAAGTCCTGGATGAGCTCTAACTTTCTCCAGTTGAATGTCGACAAGACAGAGGCCCTCCTACCTGGCTCCCATCAGCACCATCTCACTTCAGCACTGCAACAATTAACATGGATCTACACTCCACCTCACAGAGCCCGTGCGGGTCTTGTTCGACTCAATTGTTCAGCTTTAAACAGCTGTGCCTTGACCTGTTCAGCTGTTCCCCGACCTCCATAACAATAACAACAACAAAATTAGATTTGTATAGCACCTTTCATGTCGGGAGGACGTCCCATAACATCATAACATTACCCCCTCCACCACTATCTCTCCCCTCGGGCTGCTGAGACCTTTATCCATGTTTTCATGATGTCCAAGCTACACTATACCAACTCCCAACTCTTTCTTCCACAAGCTGGTTCCATGAACCTATGAGCCCATGCAGAACTCCCACACCAGGCTCCAAGAGCCTATCATCCCTGTCCTTGCCTGGCTCCATTGACTCTACATACCCCAGAGATCATCATCCTCACTTTTAAATCACTCCAGGGTCTTGCCCACCATACTCTGTGACCTTCTTAAACCATACCAACCTAGCTGCTCCCGCTGCCTGGCAGGCACTGGCCTGTTTCACGTCTCCCGCCCTGCCTGCCCACTGTTGGTGGTTGGGCTTTCAGTCTCTTTGCCCCAAGCTCTGGAAGTCCATCTTGGAATCACTTTTCTTCACCCCTTCCCTCGCCTCCTTCAATAAATTCCTCTTAGACACGCCTTCGGTCATCTTCCATCTCACCCCACCCCTCCCAAATCCAAACCCCTGCTCAGGTGCCCTTGACTGTGCAGCAGGTTGGGATGTTCTGTATAAGGCAATGTATAAATGCAAATTGTTGGTATTGTCATTAGCCAGGAAACTGGAGAAACTCCCTTCTCTTTTTGAATAGTGCCATGGGATTTTTAATGTCCTCTTGAACAGACAGACGGGACCTCAGTTTAAAGTCTCATCTGAACGACAGCACCTCCAACAATGCAGCACACCCCCAGCACTGCTCTGGAGCATCTGCTTAGACGATATGAGTTCAAACTCCTGATGTGGGGCTTGCTGGGGCAACCCACAACTTTCTGACACACAGACGAGAGTACTAGCAACTGAACCAGGCTGACATACAACATGATTAGCACAATCCACAAATTAGACTTCACTTCAGGCCCTCAAGGTGCTCATTAATAAAGCTACAGTGAGCAGAAAGTCCATGCTTGCTTATGACTCACATCACATTTAGACTGTGCATGATTAGAAACCATAACTATTGTAATCTTTTCAGTATTGAAGGCATTTACCATTTAACTACTCAAGTGTTAAGTGCTTGCAAGTCCCTATGAGTGATGGTTATTACTTTCCCAAACAATTGTGACTCATCAACACACTCAACTTTCAATTTTATACAGTATTTGTTTTATTATTCTCCAGCACCTTGGGTTTGGGTTTGGGTAGGAAACAAAGAGTAGGGATAAACGGGTCCTTTTCAGATTGGCGGGATGTGACTAGTGGAGTGCCACAAGGATCAGTCCTTAGGCCTCAGCTATTTACCATCTACATCAATAATCTTGATGAGGACATCGAAGTTAATATATTTGAATTCGCGGATGACACAAAACTAGGAGGAAGTGTCAACACAGAGGACGACACAA